TAATAATACCACAAAGCATAGGAAGAAATGAAGCTTTCCTTCAAAATAAAACCAAGAGCAAGAAGTATCCAACCTACACATAAACTAGAAGCTTCCCCAACAAGATCAGGGGTAACAAGACGATGTCCATTATCACCATTACTTTTCAATTTTGTACTAGAAATGCATGCTACAGCAATAGGAAAAACAAAAGAAACTGAAGGAATAAATACAGGCTACGAGGAACTGAAACTATCACTTTTTGAAGATGATATGATTATACTTAGAGAACTCTATAGAGTCAACTAAAAAAGTAATCAAAATAATTAACTTCAGCAAAATTGAAGGATATAAAATAAATCCATACAAATGATCACCTTTCATGTATATTACAAACAAAATACAGCAGGAAGAGATAAAGAGAAATTCCATTTAAAATAACTTCAGAAAATATTTGTGAATCCACTTGCCAATATACAACAGAAACTATATGAACATAATTACAAAACACTCAACACAAATAAAGACAGATCTAAATAAATGGAGAAATATTCACTGCTCATAGGCAGGCCAAGTTACTATAATAAAAATGACAATACTACCTAAAATAATGTACTGATTTAGTGCCATACCAACCAAACTATCAAAGAATTACTTTATAGAGCCAGAAAAAACAATAACAAAATTCATTTGGAGGAACGAAAGATCAAGAATATCAAGGGAATCAATGGGAAAAAAATGTGAACATCAAAAACATTTTGGTACTGAATAAGAAATAAAGTGGTTGATCAGTGGGAAAGATTAGGTACACAAAATGCAAAAGAAATTGAGCACAGTAGGCTAGGGTTTGATAAACCCAAAGATCACAACTATCTGGGCAAGAACTCACTATTTACCAGAAACTACCAGGAAAACTGTAAAGTAATTTGGCAAGAAACCAGCTATAGGCCAACATCTCACATTATATACCAAGATAAGCTCAAAATGGGGGCATGATTTAGACAAAAAAAGGATATCATAAGCAAATCAGAGAAGCATGGAAGAAATTACCTGTCAGATCTATGAATGAGGGGAACAGTTTGTGATGAAAAAACAGAGGTTCACAGGAGGTAAAATGAATAATTTTGATTACATACAACTAGAAAGTTTTTGCACAAACAAAACCAATGCAGCTAAAACTAGAAAAAAAAACAGAAAATGGGGGTGGAATCTTTGTAGCAAGTTTCTCTGATAAAAGTTTCATTTCTCAAATATACAGAGAACTAAGTCAAGTGTACAAGAAAAGGAGCCATTCCTTAACTGAAAAATGTTCAAAGATATGAATACACACTTTTCAGAGAAGAAATTCAAGCTATAAATAACCATATGAAAAAATTCTCAGGGCAGAGCCAAATTAGTGGAGTGAAAGCAGTGACTTGCTTGAGCTCTCCTCCAAACCCCTCCAAATACTCATAAAAAAGGGCTCTAAACAAATTCTGAAGCAGCAGAACCCACAAAAAGAGTGAAATGAATTTCCAGCCCAAGACAACCTGGATGATTGATCAGAAAGGTGTATCGTGCTGGGCTGGGCACGCAGGGAACCTGGAGCAGGCCTCAGAGGACTGAATCGCCAGCAGCTGTGGAGGTTTCCAGACTCCTCAATCCACCAATGCCAAAGACAACTTAGAAGGTCAGTGGGAAAAATCTCTTTCGGTCGGTGCTGAAACAGGAAGGTGCGGTTACAGCTCCATTCCCCAAGAGGGCGGGCGGGGGCGGACGGGGACGGGACAGCTGCTTCCCGAGCTTCCGACCCACAGACTGAGGGGGAATCCAGTGGCTGATCAGAGAGGGACTGCAGGAATCTCTTGCTTTGCCTGTGCTTGGATCTGGGTCACAGATCTAGGTGGCAGTGCTGGGGAGAGAGGAACGCTGGCATGGTGGAGCTTGGAGTGGCTGTGGAGAGGAACCCTTCCTCACAGTTACAGGACAGAAAGAATATTTGTGGTCACAGGCCAGGAAAGGAGTAAACACCTCGCCCCTGTCATACCACCTTGGAAGAACTGAAAATTTACAGGTCCCTACAAGTATCTCTGAAAACAGCTATACAAACCCCCTAAGCTTGGGACAGTACATTCTCCACATTGGAAGCAGACTCTTATCTTAACAAAGAGTTTAAAACTCAAGTAATTGGCTGGGATCATGAGCAAGCAGCGCAAAAACAGTCAAGACCATAGAATCTTACTTTGGTGACAAAGAAGACCAAAATATACAACCAGAAGAATATAACAAAGTCAAAGCTCCTACATCCAAAGCCTCCAAGAAAAATATGAATCAGTCTCAGGCCTTGGAAGAGCTCAAAAGGGATTTTGAGAAGCAAGTAAGGGAAATAGAGGAAAAACTGGGAAGAGAAAGGAGAGTGATGCAAGAAAATCACGAAAAGCAAGTCAACAGCTTGCTAAAGGAGACCCAAAAAATTACTGAAGAAAATAACACCTTAAAAAATAGCCTAACCCAAATGGCAAAAGAGGTCCACAAAGCCAATGAGGAGAAGAATGCCCTAAAAAGAAAAATTGGCCAAATGGAAAAGTCCAAAAGATTACTGAAGAAAAGACTTCTTTAAAAATTAGAATACAGCAATTGGAAGATAGTGACTTTATGAGAAACCACAACACAGTAGAACAAATCCAAAAGAATGAAAAATTAGAAAACAATGTGAAATATCTCATTGGAAAAACAACTGACCTGGAAAATAGATCCAGGAGAGACAATTTAAAAATTATTGGACTATCTGAAAGCCATGATCAAAAAAAGAGTCTAGACATCATCTTTCAAGAAATTATCAAGGAAAACTGCCCTGATATAGTAGAACCAGAAGGCAAAATAGAAATTGAAAGAATCCACAGATCTCCTCCTGAAAGAGATCCCCAAAAAGAAAACTCCTAGGAATATTATAGCCAAATTCCAGAGTTCCCAGGTCAAGGAGAAAATATTACAAGCTGCCAGAAGGAAACAATTCAAGTACTGTGGAAACACAATCAGGATAACACAAGATTTAGCAGCTTCTACATTAAAGGACCGCAAGGCATGGAATATAATATTCCAGAGGACAAAGGAGATAGGATTACAACCAAGAATCACCTAGCCAGCAAAACTGGGGAAAAATAGTCATTCAGTGAAATAGAGGACTTTCAAGCATTCTTGATGAAAAGACCAGAGCTGAATAGAAAATCTGACTTTCAAATACAGGACTCCAGTGGAACATGAAGAGGTAAACAGGAAAGAGAAATCATAAGAGACTTATTAAGATTGAACTGTTTACATTCCTGCATGGAAAGATGATATTTATAACTCATGAGACCTTTGTCAGTATTAAGGTAGTTGGAGGAAAAAAAATTATACGTATGTATATGTACATAGATAGACAGAAGGCACAGGGTGAGTTGAAGATTAAGGGGCCATATCTGGAGAATAAAATTAAGGGATGAGAGAGGATTATACTCGGAGAAGAAGAAAAAAGGGAGAGGTAGAATGGGGTAAATTATCTCACAAAAAAAAAACAGAAAAGAAAAGTCTCTTGCAGTGGAGGGGAAACGGGGGAAGGTGAGAGGGAATGAGGGAATCTTATTCTCATAGGATTTGGCTTAAGGAGGGAATAACATACACATTCAATTGGGTATGGAAATCTGTCTTACCCTACAGGAAAATAGGGGGAGAAGGGGACAAGAGAGCAGGGGGGTGATAGAGAGGAGGGCAGATTGGGAAAGAGGGTAATCAGAAGCAAATACTTCTGAGGAGGGACAGGGTCAAAAGAAAGAATAGAATAAATGGGAGGGCAGGATAGGATTAAAGGAAACAGTTTTTCACAACATGTCTACTATGGACTTCTTTTGCATAACTGCACATGTATAAACTTTAGTGAATTGCTTGCCTTTTCAATGAGGGTGGGTGGGGAGGGAGGAAGGGAGAAAATTTGGAACCCAAAGTTTTAAAAACATATGTTTAAAAAAATGCTTTCACATGCTACTGGGAAATAAGAAATACAGGAAATGGGGTACAGAAGTCTATCCTGCCCTACAGGAAAATAGAAGGGGAAGGGGATAAGAGAGAGGACAGACTAGGGGAAGGGATATTCAGAATGCATGCCATCTTGGGGTGGGGGGAAGGGGGAGATGGGGTGAAAATTTGGAATTCAAAAACTTTTGGGAGTGAATGTCGAAAACTAAAAATAAATAAATTATATTTAAAAAATCCTCTAAATAATAAAGAAATTAAAACTTAAATAATTCTAAGGTACCCTCACACCTATCAAATTGGATAAGATGATAAAAAAGGAAAATTACAAATACTGAAGGAGCTGTGGGCAAACAGGTGCATTAGAACACTGTGTAGCTGTAACTACTCCAACCATTCTGAAAAGCAATTTGGAACTATCCCCCAAAAGCTATTAAACTGTGAACATCCTTTGACCCAGCAATACTGAAAGATATCAAAGAAAGAGGGAAAGGATCCATATGTACCAAAATATTTATGACAGCTCTTTTTATAGTAGCAAAAAACTGGAAACTGAACTGGCTGAAACAAATTATGGTTTATGAACATGAACAATAGTATTGTAATGTAAGAAATGAGGAAGTGGATTATTTCAGGAAAAAAACTTAGGAAGACTTGAACTGGTGAAAAGAAACTGAATTAAGATCAAAGATGTCTTCATCCTCAAAAATTTTGGTAGGTGATAAACTATAGAATGTCTGTGGGTAGCGGCCATAAATTAATCAAAAAAACAATGATTAGCTAGAAGATTCAAACTTTCATTAGTCTCTTCATCCCAAAAACCTGTACAATCTTCAAAATTTTCACATTAATTTTAAACTAAGTTAATAACTTATTTTTTTCCAATATTACTACTAAAATAACATGATTTTTACCATCTTATCAAATTACATTAAAAAATCTCTTTAAATATTACCTTTAAAAAAAGAAAAATCAAACACAAAAGCACACTACAGTCAATAAAAAACGTTAGACTTATTTTTTAAACTAACCTGAATCACATTTCTCTTTGTCTTTAGGAAACTTCACCTTGGAAGATTTCACAATTTTATTATTGTCCAGTTCTGACATCTTTAGTTTTCCACTAGAAGATGTGTCTGCATTAAATAGAAATGTCTCTTTCTGATTCTTTATGCCTTTATTTGTTGATTCTTTTTCATATTTTTGCAGATTTTTTTGTGTATGCACCTCCTTAACTCTGTTCAAACTCTGTGTTTTACAAATATTATCATAATCATCTGGCTCTTTCCCATGTCCAAAGTCTTCCTTTGACCTAACAGTGTTCCTTTTTTCCTTATCATTCAGTAATTCTTTTGGATCTCCTTTTTCAGTTTTCTGGTTCTTTTTCTTTGTTTTCTTTTTGTTTGATGCTTCACTATCTTTATCTGAGAGATCAGAGTCTGAATCTGATAAGTCATAGTAACGTTTCAAATCCTCTGTGCTGCTATGATTTATGGGACGTCCTCTTTTATCCACGGTATATTTCAACTTGAACTTTTTGTCATGAAACATTGCTCGAAATCTCTTATCAATCTTAATTTTTCTGTCCTTTTCTGGCATTTCCCAAAATCTAGGATCCTTTGTAATTCGCTGAAACCGCTCATCATTCATAAGTTCTTTTGACGCCATTTTTAAGCTTCCTTGTTGACCAAAACCGCGAGTAACCTAAAAATTGAAAAATGTAATTATGAGGGTTTAATTTTACTAAACAACAATTGTTTTCAAGAAAGCTTCATTGAATCTTTTAAGTTATATTTCATATAAAAGCAAGGCATGATAAAAATGGTTTCCATTGTTCTCCATTAAGAAGTGGGTTACAGCTACAATATCCAAATTTGCACTCCGAGTTCAACTTTTAAAAACTAATATTTTTTAAGAAGTCTTTTCAAAAACCATCTTCGTGGTCAGACCAGGTTTCCCACTTTTTTTGGCTCAGAAAATTGTAACCCTAATTAATCACCCTGCACAAAAGAAAACCTCACTAGGGATGTAGGAACACCTATCTTTTCCAAGGAAATCTTCAGCAATAAAACTATCACCTAAAAAATAAGTTTTAACACAACCTCCAATACATCAAAAATGAATATGAATATAGGGACTTCCATGCCATCATCAAAGTTTAGAGCTGAAACCCGCCTAACAACTAGCTTCCTTTTTCTATCCCCAGGCTCCTGGGTTCTATAGCATATTGATGATAAGTGGAAGAAAACTGCTGGGCTCTTTTCCCAAAAGAGAGGGGGGAGGGTGTGGCTTCCTAATCAGCTGCAATTATAGCTTGGCAATCTCTGCCCCACAAACTCCCAAACTCAGTAAGGAGGTATGAGAGAATAACAAGAGCTCATCTGTAGTACGTCTTATTTTACAGGGGAGAAAATTAAGTCTCGAAAAAACTAAGAATAACAGTCAGAGTGTGTGTGTGTGTGTACACCTCACTTACTGCGATTATCTCATTTGATCCTCACAACAACCCGGGGCGGCGAGAGGAAGATGTTGTTACGATCCCCATTTTACAGGTGAGGAAACTGAGACCAACAACAGGGGTTAAGTGCCTTTCCCAGGGTCACACAGCTAGGAAACGTCTGAGGTCGCATCTGAACTCAGATCTTCCTGCTCCAGGTTCAGAGCTCTATCCATCACGCTACGGGGCTGCCCGAGGTCACACAGCTTTGACAGTGGCAGAGTCAGCACACGAGCAGTTCACCCTACCTCACGCAGTGCCAGAGGAAGCCCCTCGGAACTCCAAGGGGCCGGCTGCTCTTCCAAAGCGTCTTTTGCTTCGCGAAAGGAGAGGAAGATCGAGGAGGCGGCCACTATCACTTCCTGACAAGGTCAGTTGAAGACGTCCACCTTGGCTAGCGACTTTCTTTGAATCTCTTACAATTCCGCCATCCGGACTTAGAGCCCCAAACGCCTCAGCTCACTTAGCGAATCCTCTCACAGAATCACGTGGAGAAATGCAGGCCCACAATCCTTTGCGTTAACCTCTGGAGCTACGGCAAGCGATCTGGTTCAGACCGGAGGCTTCGCGTTAAGCGCGCCTGTTGAAATGCGTTGTCTAGTACTGCCGCAGCGCATGCGCAAGGACGTGAGGGCGGTCGGCACGGCAGGTAAGGAGGTCGCGCAGAGGGTGCGGGCAGCAGTTGTCATGCTGAGGGCTGTCCGGCTCCCGTGGTGCCGGTGGCCCATCCTGCCAGCCCGTCGCCGCGAGGCGGGCTGTGCTTGTGGCGGTGGCCGGCCGAGCGGATCCCGGGGGGCTTCCTCGTACTCTTCCCTGTTTGGCGACGCCGCCCCGGGCGCCGTGAATGTCTTCGATCGGGTGTTGAAGAGGAAACAGAAGAATTGGGCGGCCCAGCAGCCCGAGCCCTTGAAGTACGACTACCTGAAGGAGGAGGTGAGTACGCCGTCCCGGGAAGACCCGAACGCGGGGCTCTCCCCCGACGCAGATCGCAGGCAGCCGTGCTGCTGCCGCCTCGAGCCGTGACTGGGTAAAGGTAAAGTGTCTTCGGGCTAGGGATGCAGGTGCGGGGAACCGTCCAGGACCGAGGCACAGAGGCTGGAGATTAGGCTGTTGCGTGACTCAGTGGTTAGAGTTCTGGGGCCTGCAAGTCACGTTAGTTCAGTGGTCTGTCAACAAACATGTAAGTGCCAGGTTCTGTGCTAAGTGTTGGAGAAACAAAGCAAGCCAAAAAAAATACACCCCAGTACCTATTTTGTAATTACTTAACATTTTATTAGATACTTAATATGTTTGAAGCATTATGCTAAATAAGCCCTGGGAATAGAAAGATAAAAATAGCCAGCCCTCAAAGAACTTATTTACATTTTAATGGAACCGAGTTCAAATCATGCCTCAAATCACTACTGCTGTTACTATTATCTTGCATTTATTTTGCTCTTTAACTCACGACCCTTATAACAAAAGTAGGTGCTATTATTAAACTAATTTTACAGCTGTGGAAAGACTGGGAGAGGTTAAATGAGGTCACAGCTAGGAAGCAGCAAGATTTGAACTGAGGTCTTCCTAACTCCCACTATCTACTTTAACCTCTCTAAGCCTCATCTGTTAAAAGGGGATAATAATAGCACCTACTCTGCCAAAGTTGTTTTGAGAGCAGAATGAGATAATATTTGCAAAGTGCAATATAAATGTTAGCCATTACTACTTATAAGTTTACTTTTCCAGTCCTACTTTATTAATTCAAATATGAATAATCCTTTTTTTCATTCAATTTTATTTTCAATTCTAGGCTCTCCCTTCTCTCACCCCTCACCTGTCTAGAAAGCAAGAAACACAAAACTCTTTCAGAATAAGAAGTCAGCATACGTTTTAAAATATGCATAAGCTATCGAATCAAAGCACTGTTTTATATCAAAGAAACTGTTCTTTTTCCTCTAAAAGTAAACAAACCTGTGCCATACAAGTAGCTAAAGGGAATCCAGCAAGATGGAAAGATTTAGAATGCCAAAAAACCGACAGTAAATTAGGTTTAAAAATGTGAACAAAATTGTTAAATAATTTAATTAATTTATTGAGTTTTAAATAACTTAGCTTATACTAAAACACTACATGCTGACTTTAGATAAAGAATTTAGATGCATTCGAATCTAATGTAATTGATACTGTTTAATGGAATGTATAGCAGTTGTCAGCCAGAAGGAAACAAAAGGTGGAAAGGACCTTAGAGATCATTTAGTCCAACTTGCTTTTTTTATAGACAAGGAAAATGAGGTGGGGAGGGGTGAAGTGATTTGCTCAAAGATGCAGGCAGTAAGCTGCAGAAGGGAAGCTAAGTGGAGTAGTGGATAGAGCAGGAAGACCTTAATTCAAATCCAGCCTCAGACACACAGCTGTGTGACCCAAGGCAAGTCACTTAACCATGTCTGCCTCAGTTTCCTTATCTGTAAAATGAGGTGAAGAAGGAAAATGGAAAACCACTCCCATGTCTTTACCGAAAAAACCCCAAATGTGCTTACGAAACCACAAGAATGACTAAACAACAGCAAAAGTAGCAGAGGCTGTCTTTGACTTCAGATTCATTTTTCTTCTGTGCTTTAGAGCTTTGGTGACAAGCAAACAGATAAGATTTTGAGTTTTGCAAATTGTACCATCTTTTATTGTATTTTCAAACTTAACATTTGTACTAGTATAACACCCAAACAATAATCAATTGATAAATATTAAATGCCTACTATATTCTAAGGATTATGCTGAGCCCTTGGAAATGCAGAAATGAAGATTAAATGATCCCTGCCTTCTTGGAGTTTATATTCTATTTGGGGAGACAACATAAACACGTGTAAGCATATACAAAATAAAAGATAATTTAATGGGCAGCCACTAGCAGCTACAGTATAAAAAAAAGTGATTGGGAAAAAGATAAACTTCATTCCCTTCTACCTCTAGTCCTAGAAATTTTATGAATATCTGATTTAATTTCATGCATATAGATATAGGGACCCCTATACTATATCTCAATGTCTCATTGACTTCTGTAGGTTCTACTATCGTCTCTATGCAGCTGAGTTCCAAATCTATTGCCCTAGTTTCTTTTCTGAGCTCCAGACCTACATTTGCAGCTGCATGCAGAACTTTTCCCTTTTGGTGGTTTTATAGGTATCTGCAACATAATATGTTTGAGAACAATATTCCTTATTTTTCCCAATCCACTACCCTTTTTCTTCACGTTTTCATTTTGACTCCTCTTACTGGTCCCTCCTCCCCACATCTGATCAGTTGCCAAGTCTAGGCTAGTTATCTCCAAAAAAGGTTTTGCATAGTATTTTACATCAGTTATCTCATTTAATCCTCATGACCACCTTCTAAGGTAGTTGCTATTATTATCTCCATTTTGCTGATGAGGAAATTGAGACTAAAGGAGTGCTTTCCCAGTGTCGCGCAGCTAGTAAGTATCAAAGGCAGGATTCAAACTCAGATTTTCCTGACTCCAAGTCTAGTGCTCTCACCTCCAGACTTTTTCCACATCTGAAGCCTTCTGTCTACTCATTCTACAGCTACCCTAGTCAAGGCTTTCATGACTCCTCTTGCCTGGACTACTGCAATAACCTCCTAGTTGAATTCCATGCCTCTGGCCTCTTCCTCTTCAATCCATATTGTATACAGCTGCCAAATTGATATTGTTAAAGCACAGATTAATGTACAGACATTGTCATTTATTTCCTCTTTTAGTTCAATGGATCTGTTTTTCTTCCAAGATAAAATACATTCCTCCATTTGACATTTAAAGTCCTTCAAATCTGGCTTCTACTTATCTTTTCAGGTTTCTTTCGTATTAATCAGTAATTAATAAGCATTTATTAAGCACCTGCTATGTGCCAGATACTGTGCTAAATGCTTTACAAATATCTCATTTGATTCTCACAACAACCCTGTGTGGTAAGTGATATTGTTATTCTCATTTTATAGATGAGGAAACTGAGGCAGAGGTTAGGTGTCACACACCTTAATGTCGAGACCGAATTTGAACTCAGGTCTTCCTGACTGGCAAGTTTAGTGCTTAATCCATTGTGGTCTGTAGGTGCTGATGCTCTGTTTTCTTCCTCCATACTTTTTCACGGGCTATCTATAGTGCCTGCAATATACCCTTCTACTTCACCTCTGTCTCTCATAACCCCTAGCTCTCTTCAAGGCTCCTTTTAAGTGCCAGCTCCTATAAAAAGTTTTTCCTGATTCCTCACCATTAGTGTTCTCTTCCCACCCCCCACACCAAAAAGCACTGGTTGTTCCTGGGCAAGAAATACACTCCTTCCTTATCTCTGCCTCATAGTCTCCCTTTTTTCCTTTAAGGTGCAGCTCAGGTACCATCTTTTGCATGAAGCCTTTCCTTTTTTTACCCACAATTGCTCATGCCTTCTCTCCAAAACAGCCTTATATTTAACTCCTTTGTATGTATTTACTTATTCACTTTATAGTTATGCTGAATATATTTACGTATACATTTAATGTCTCTTCCTTTAGAATATAAGTTCCTCTGATCCAACCATTCTGGAGAGCAATTTGGAACTCTGAATACCCTTTGACCCAGCGATATCACTTGTAGATCTGTATTCCAAAGAGATCATAAAAATGGGAAAAGGACCCACACGTACGAAAATATCTATAGCAGCTCTATTTGTGCTGGCAAAGAATTGGAAATTGAGGGGATGCTCATCATTAGGGAATGGCTGAACAAGTTGTGGTATATGAATGTAATGGAATACTATTGTGCTAGAAGAAATGATGAGCAAGCAGACTTCAGAAAAGCCTAGAAAGACGTATATGAACTGACACTAACAGCCACATAGTGCGATGACTAACTTTCATAGACTTGACTCTTCTCAACAATGCAAGGATCTAAGACAACTCTAAAAGACTCATAATAGAAAATGCTATCCACATCCAGAAAAAGAACTATGGGGTCTGAATACAGATGGAAACATACTATTTGCTGTCTTTCTGGGTTTTTTTGTTTGTTTGTTTCTTCTTTCTCATGGTTCCTCCCATTGGTTCTAATTCTTCTTTACAACAAGACTAATATGAAAATGTATTTAATATGAATTTATATGTAGAGCCTATAACAGATTGCATGCCATCTTGCAGGGGTGGGAAAAGAGGAGGAGAAAATTTAGAACTCAAAATCCTATGGAAGTGAATGTTGAAAACTAAAAATAAGTAAATAAATAAATAAAAATAAAGTTATTTGGGGAAAAAAATAGAATGTATGTTCTTTACAAGTACAGCTCATTTCATTCTTTATATTTATATCCCCAAATCCCCTGTCTGGCATATAGTAGATTCTTTACAAATGTTTGTTTAATTTATTTTTATGTATTTACTTATCTTTACACATATATTTTCTCTGTAGTAGACTGTAAGCTCCTCTAGGACAAGGATTGTTTTTATTTTATATTTTGTATTCCCAGCACCTAATATTGGACATGGCACATAGTAGGC